CCAGCTAATACCACCTGAGTGGTTGGTTGAGTGAACCTTTGATAACTGAGAAATTTTTGAGGGTCGGTGGGGCAAGGTTGAAAACTCAGGTGGATAATGGGTCTTCCTTGTACTCTTATCCACGTAAATTAGGTATTTTGTTTACGCCAGGGATCAAACCCGTTACGTGCACCAAAACCAGACCATCACACATTGCGTTTATACCACTAGACCAAAACCCCAAGCTGTAAAGTTTGTTACTTTAATTTGACAAAAAATTGATTCATGACTTTATTTTTAAAGTGGGTAAAGTTTAATAACTTTACTGTAATGTAAATGTGAAATAATAACATGACCGAAGGAATATTTATAATACATGTTTACCTGGTCTATTTTCAGTGGATCACCATCAAGGAGACGGGCATCAGCAGGGACAATATCCCCAAGTTTAATGCTGATTATGTCACCTGGAACAACAACTGCTGCATCTTCTTCACACCATTTTCCATCTCGAAGAACCTACAACATTTTACTTCATATGTATGATCATAGTAGGAAATTAACTTCTTATAAGTTGAATAATCATTTAAAAAATTAACTCGAAGTACCACTGCATCCGCATTTTTTATTTACCTTAGCTTTGGGAGCAAGACGGGGCCATGAGAGCAGCAGCAGCATTACCAGCATTATTTTCCTCTATGAAGCTAATCGTCGAATTAATCAATAGAAGGGAAATAATCCCAACAAAATCTTGCCAATCAGGTGGCTTCCCCTGCTCCCCAAAAAAAGAAATGATAATTAAAATCAGAAAAAGGACTGGAATTTTTAGTCAGCAGAGAAAACGGGCGGAAATGAAAATGAAATTGACAGAGTAGAAGACATTACGAAGTATTTTTCAAAGTACCTCTTCGCCAATTAATCAAAAAAGATAGGTGGGTGAGGGAGNACTAGTTTTATGAGTAACTTGATAGTAAAAATATTTTTACTCCTTCTGTGCATAAAATTTGAACTTTTTAAGTTATGCAAGAATTTTTGTTTGCTGCAGTTTAAGCTTTTATAATATATTACTAGTTACTCCCTCCGTTTCAATTTATGTGAACATGTTCGACTGAGTACGGAGTTTCAGAAAAAATGAATATTTTTGGAATTTGTGGTACTAAACAAGTTAAAAAGGGGTCCAGAGTATTTGTGTGATTATAAAAGCTTCTCATTAAGGGTAGAATTGTAAGTTTAAGCTAAATTGTCTCCAAATTTCGAAAGGGATCATTCTTTTTGGAACGGACCAAAAAGAAAATAGATTCACATAAACTGGAACGGAGGAAATACTATTTTATCAGGTTATCAATTAACACTTATTATAAAAATTAGATAATTTGACTTATTATAATATTTTTTTAATTATTACTTTTATCAGATTATCAAATACTATTTATTACAAAATTACATGTAATTTCCTATAAGTAGTTTGCATAAAAGTTAAACTAATAATTAGAGTTATAGTAACTTATATATGTTGGTAAGTTTCATACTAATAAATTATCCAATAGATAATTACATATAATCATAAATAGAAAAGTGAAATATGGAAAGCTACATACTCAACAAATGAAATACTTTACTAATATAATTGTTATAAAACTATTGAATTATATAACTTAAATTCAATTAAAAAAAGAAGAAAGAAAGAAGAGCTCACTCCTCCATATGCAAGACAAATGGCCATAATTGCTGCAGCTTCCATGACCATGAAAGTGGATTCCACATAAATCCTACAAACTTCAGGAATTTACTTTCCTGCAAATGCCAGAGATGATTCTCAAAGTTAAGTCACAAAATATGTTACGTATTATTATTTCACCAGTTCTATCTAAATACATAAAAGATTATTTATAAAATTAATTTCACACTTATAAATGCTTTTCATTGGGTCGGATGTAGCTTATCAGCTATGTGCCAACCTAACGTAATATTTTAAATACGGAATACGAATATATACGTAAAAAAATATAATTTATTTAATATTCGAAATTTTGAAGGATTAACCAATCAAAATTCAAAATTTGGATTTGCTTCTATTTTTACTACTTATACTTATTAGCTGCTACTTTCCATCAAATAACCCAAATTAACTCATAATTCCAAAGATAGTGATTTGCATAAAGAAGATGAATTAAGATGAAAATAAGAGAGAAATGTATACATGCTTCTCCTCAAGCTTATTATAACCAAAAATTTGAAGTCTCCTGTGAGCATCTTAAGAAGTAAGCCCCTCTCTGCTACACCTCAGATTCTGGAAAACCTCCTCTAGTGGTACGTTTTCCTGTTGAAAGAAAAATGCAATTATACATAACCAACAATTATAAAAATAATTACGTCTCAATCTCAAGTAAATTAGAATTAGATATACGAATTCTTACTATTCATGTTACTCTATTTAAGTTTATTCCGGTCTAATATGATAAAAAATCTAGTACCTCTAAATTTTTCTGTTTACCAACTAAAATTTTAAAACCATGAAAAAGAGTACCCAAATCATGATATCCAAAATTATCAGAAGTAAAATAGAAAAAAGAAGAAAATAAGTCGAATCCAAACTAGTATGATCAAATCATGTAAATTCATTCTGCTATTATTGTACTGATTGCATGATCGGTTTTTAGTTAAGTTTATATGAAACAAAAGTGTTATAGTAAATTGATGATCAAGGTAAAAGTAATCAAAAAAAAAAAAAAAAAAAAAAAAAAAAAAAAAAAAAAAAAAAAAAAAAAAAAAAAAAGAGAGACAATGCCACCATGCTCATGGTAACTCTTTTTTCTTTTAGGCATTTCGGTCTTTTAAACCTATCAAAGAGAGGCCTCCCTATCAAGAAATTATTCATTTCCATAATTCGTTTTCAAACCACACCCCTCTAATTAAAGATAGAGAAACCTTACTCACTGCTAACTTCAAATATATAATTCATATTAAGAAAGTAAAAGCAAAGAAATGAAAAAGTGAGAGTAGTTACCAAATCTATAGCCTCAGGGATGGCAATGGGGCGGTGCGGGTGCGGGGCGGGTTCAATTTTTAAATTAAAAAAATAATGTGGGGCGGGGCGAGTGGGGATTTAATATTTTAAACTAATAGACATAAAGGCTAAATATTAAAACCCTAGACCAAATTTCTCTCTCTGTCTCTTACGGCTCATCAGTCATCTCTCTCAGACTCTCCTTGGTCCTCGACTCCCCTCTCAGTCTTGCTCGATAATCCGAGAAATTTACAGCAACTTTCAATCGTAAAGGTCATTATTTTGTGGTTTATCAAGGATTGTGAGTCCCTTTTCCTCTCTAAATTCTACTTCTCACTATAGCTCCATTTTCTGGTTCTAGTAATCTTGAATTAAGTTTTTGGGCTTTATCTTTGTTGTGGAATTCCTATTTAATTTTGGTTTAAAGCTTTGTATTTTCGATTTTTCTATGAGAAATTTTATCAAACACATTATGGGCATCACTGATAAAGACCTATATTTCCTGTTCTTTAAGGCTGTGTAGAGAAGGCCAAAGGTAAATATGATTCCAAGAAGACCATTTGTGTAAAGCCAATGGAATTGCTATTTTATTTTAAATCCTAAAGTTCAATTGGTGTCAAGTCATAATTTGAATATGATCTCCTTACACCCATGTGTTGCGCTAATTTTAGGTGTTCATAAGAAAAATCAGAAAAAGGAAGTTGGAGTTTAGCTATCAGCATTAGTTTTCTTTTTCCACACAATCCACAAGAAGTAAGGAAACTTGGTAAAGTCAATCAGTACTCCTTACAAAGAAAAGGTTTTCTTTTGTATATGATTTTTTCCATTGATGAGTGGTACCAGTTTTGCAATATATGCCTCAGTAAAATAGTTGCATAGTTCTGTTTTATTTCATTTACTAATACTGCTAGTTAAACTGCAAGCTCTGTTGCAGATTCATATATGTTTATGTCATAAACTGCTTTGGGCTGCATATATAGTTTCTGTCATAAACTGCTTAATTGACTCTTTTTTTCATTTTCCATGTGCACTTAGAAATGTCTCATAATATTAATTTAGATTATTTTTTGTAGAAAAGTATGGAGTCTCAAAATGAAGAGAATCCGGTTGGTTCATCTTCTAGTACTTTTCCTATAGAGAGTGAGAGTCAATTGCCTATGCAAGTCGATAAAGTTATTGATGAAAAGTCCGGATTGCTAGCTCCCGTTCATAGTTTTGCTACAGATGATACACGAGGAATCTTTTTATGGCGGTTCTTCCTTGACTGCCTCCATTATGTTGTTGCTAGCAAATACCACTATTTTTGGTTTTGGATCTTCCAAATCATTCCCGCAGGAGATCCGGACCCATTTTTTTCTGATCCTTCGAGAAAAAGATTCATTCTCTTCATAAAAAATGGAGGTGGGAAAAGAAAACTTATTTCTGACGCATGGAATCATTTTACATCGGTGATGATTAATCGTGTTCGTTTTGGTATTTGTAAGTATTGTAATACTCGTATCAAATCAACAAGAAATTGTGGGACATCGTCCATGTTAGATCATATCCGTAATCGATGTCGCAAAAAGCCAAGTAACTTAGACAATGAGGGTAGTTCGGTGGGTGATGGTAGCCAACAACACTATTTTGTCAAGATGTTTCACACAGAGAACTTGCTCATGTTATCATTTTGCACGAGTATCCATTGTCCATTGTTGATCATGTAGGATTTAGGAAGTTTGTTGCTAGTCTCCAACCGTTGTTCAAAATGGTGTCTAGGAACACAATCAAGAATGATATACTGAAGATTTTCGACAATTTGAAATCAAAACTTCTATATTATTGGAAAACCTTACAAGTAAAGTTGCAATAACAACTGATATATGGACTTCGGACAACATCAAAAAAGGGTTCATGGCTATTACAACACATTTTATTGATGATTCATGGAGACTTCAAAGCCATATTTTTAGATTTGTTTATGTTCCTCTCCACATGATAAGGATACTTTATGTAGTGCGTTGCTTAATTGCTTGTTAGAGTGAAATATTGAAAGAAGAATTTCAACAATTACAGTTGATAATTGTAGTACAAACAATGCTATAATGAAAACCTTGCTAGATGAGAAACTTTGTAAAAGCGATTTATTGTTGATGGGTCGAATGTTACATGTGCGATGTGCCGCACATATCTTGAATTTGATTGTGCAAGAAGGACTAAAGGTGATACAAGATAGTATTAATAATGTGCATGACAGTGTCTTATATTGGATAGGGTCTTCAGGCAGAATCGAAAGGTTTGAAGAAGCTGCACGATTGCTACATATTTCTTGTAACAAAAAGTTAGAGTATGATTGCCCTACTCAGTGGAACTCAACATATCTAATGTTGAGAACAACACTGGAATGCAAAGATGTGTTTATGAAGTTGAGCCTAAGTGACCTTAGTTATCGTTGTTTTTCAACCGAAGGGCAATAGAGTGCAGCAAAAGAAGTTTGTGATACATTAAAGCTTTTCTACCATATTGTGAGCACGTGATTTTTGCCTCACACAAATTACTCCAAAAGCATTCCCCAAATTAGGTCTTTTCTTTAATTATATGTTATTCTAGGAATTACTGTGCAGTTTTTCTGATTGTTTGTATATATTTGTGGGCATGTTTAATTTTATTAATGCATTAAAAATACAAAAATATAGCATTGGCATTTAAGATTTTGATTTTTATATTTTTTGGAATTAATTAATAATTAGGATATCAGAAAACTTTGAAATGGTATTTCGTTTAATCACTTAGGCAGAATTACTAGGATTAGTTCAATAATTTGGTTGAATGTGTATAATAATCTACTGATTAGTATAATTTTATGCAAGTTGTTACTAATTGAGAAGCTCCTAATAGTGGTAGGGTAGTATTTGCATTATCAAATTAACTAAAAGCACTAATTGAGTGGACAATTAAGTGGATGATTAAAAAAATGAAAAGTTGAATTGGTAGTGGAAAATGCACTAATTGAATGCCCATTTAAGGGAGCTGAAAATCATAAAAGAAGGGGGCGGAAAGAGCGGTATACACTCGATATACACTCTGGATACACAAGATATACAGGGGCAGAATTCATTTTGGAGAGAGTAAAAAAGATAGAACCAAATTTTCTGAAATATTGAGAGCGGAAGAACACCAGAGAGAGTTCAAAGCTAGAAAGAGAAAACAAAGAGAGATTTCCGGACTATTTTTCTTCTCCATTTTTACTGGTTTTCTCCGTGTTGCTGGGATTTCTGGATTGAGGTGTTGAAGCTACTGTGTTGGGCTTTTTGCTGCTGTATTTTGCTGTTTGATGTTGTTGATTGCTTACCCCATTTTTTCTGTTCTACATACCAGGTACATGTCCTGAAACTCGATGTATAAAAATATCCAGTTGAAAATGAATGAAGTGGAGGCCTATTGTTGATTTACTGCTTTCATTATACTNTCCTTATGCCTTTGCGGGTGTAGGTAAAAAGGAGGTGTGACAGCTCTGGCGACTCTGCTGGGGACCGAACCCAGAATCTCTGGTTCAGGGTTCAAGAATTCGAACTTAGAATAATTGTTATATTTGGCTTTATTTATTATCTGATTTTTACATGTTTGTGCCTAATGTGCTAAATGTTGCTTTTTACCGCTTTGATATTATCTGAATTGTATATATAAACTGCTACGAAACCCTTCTTCTTTCTGGGTCTTTTGAATTTATGGTGCACACGTGCGCGTGACCCACTTTTTTGTTAGAAGTCATACCAAGTAGAACGAGGTTGGGTCAAGTAACTAGGCCGGGTAGACTTTCGTGCCCCCGGTACGTTGCCCCCGCCTCGGCTCGAGCTGTCCGCTCGGGTAAGCCAGGTCTAGAACAAATGTACCTAGGTTTTTAAACCTAGAATACATAGCCTCATGCCGGATCCCTAGTAGGTACTCTTGTTTGCACCACGTGCATCTGACTTTGGGGACTCAACACAGGGGTTGGGTTTGTCTAGGACAGGTGTACCCC